ATTTCATAAAATCTATTTTGCAATCTCTTTTAATCGAAGCCAATGTGTTTTAGCAGGTGTTTGGATTTATGCATACATGTAGACATAAATTCGGGTCTCGTGTTCAACAAATTAGTGTTATTTAAGTGTTTTAATATAATAAGCTTCTCCAATAAACACAAGCTACATCTGTCTCCCTTTCCATTGAATGGCTTTAGCTTTCGCAAATATCCCCCAGCTAATGGTCAGATGCTTATGGCTGTTTTTTAATTGCCAAAGATACTTTGAAAGTGTTGTACTGTTTTTTGTATTTGATGTTGCTCAGTGTCATTTTGAGGTGGTAAAAACAGCTGTCCTCGGTGGATCCAAAGTAATATTTAACGTCATCGTCTGAATTGATCCTATAAATCCTATATATTATATATACACACTTTATAAATTAATCGAGTACAGTAATATTGGATTGTATGTGTGAATAGATATATAAGAAATGTTATTAATGATATTCGATCGTGCACTGGTCATTTTATGTGAAGATTACGTTTTTATGTTTATGGCAATTGCATTGACCTTTAGTAGGATTATTTTTTAGTGTTTTGTTTGGGGTTTTGCTTAATACATTATTGTCATGTTGGGATATGTAATTATCTCTGTTTTTGTACAACTATAACTAACCTTAATATTATATTTGTTGAAAATATTTTTAGCGATGGAGAATGACTGAAGTGTTTGTGAATTAAATTCAGGAAAATTCTACCTACATTGGGTTTGACATTACTATGGTATGGCAGGTTGAACCATATTATGTTACGTTTGCTGTTATTTCTTACTATATACTCCAATTTCACATTATGGTTGCTGCATTCTAGCACTTTGTTATATCTAGCTTTATTATTGTCGAATATTTATTTGTTACTGGAGTTGTTCGATAACGTATATTGTAACGATTTGTGCAAATTGTCACGTATCCTGTTATGGCGGTTGGGACTTCTGTCGACGTACCCGTGCTTGTATAAATCCTTAGTGTATGGTTTATACATGCCCTTACTCAGGTCAAATATGACGTCTAGGAAATTGGTCACTTTAGCGTTGGTATTGTTGGTAATGTTTAGTTTATGGTCCTTAAACAAATTGGTTAGGTCCTTTCTCATCCTGTCTGCTTGTCTTGGTAAGTGACACTAGTCCTGGGTATGACGTTAAACTATATCCGGCAGTAAGTCCTCTAATCAGAAGACTGATGTTTTGAGGAGCGTGGAAACATCGCATAATTGTTGTTGTTTCCAGATCCACTCTGGTATGAGGTGGTAGCACCCGTTAGGGTCTCAGCTATGGGCAAATAAAAATTACCAAAATTACCTATTTATAGTAAAATTACTGACAATACATTATAGTAAAATTACCGACAATTCATATTTATAGAAAATTACAACAATATCTATTTATAGTGAAATTACTGACAATATCCATTTATATTAAAATTATTAGCAATACGTATTTATAGTAAAATTAACAACAATTCATATTTTAGTAAAAGTACGAGCAATTTTATAGTAGAATGACCAACAATACATTTTATAGCAAAATAATCAACAATACATTTTATCTCTAGTTGCGTTCAAAATATATTGCGTTCAAAATATATTTAGTTAACATTATAAAATTGTGTTTAAAATATTTAGATTTCGGCATTAAAAAATGCATAGAGATTGATATGCTGCTAAAGGAAATTAACTAACCAACACATGACAATGCGCCATCTGAGTGAACATGAGGAGGTAACGTATGTTGCGATAAGGCTACCTTGGGTGAAGGAGTCTACTGCAAGCAGGTGGCATGTTACGTATATGTACACGTGCTCCTTTTGTTCAATTAGATCGGATTGAGACGGGTTGGATTGTGAGCCTCTAGAGGCTGGATGGTCATTTCAGAGAATTGATGCGCATGTTGTATATGACACCTCACTGCTGCTTCGATACTGGCAAGAATAGTCAAATGAAACATTCATACACGTAGAGAATAGATTCTGGACAACTACATGGTACAGGCTCTTGCCAAGATAGCAATATTGGTAGACTGCACGATCAGAGAAAATGTGGCATCAGGAGCCTCAACATAGATCTTTGGGAATCCTCTACTTGTAACAGGACAACGGGGAGGCGTGCCTCTAACAAAACTTCGACTTGCACCACAACAGTCGTGTACGTCAGCAGTGGTATCGCGAGAGTGCTGCCTAGATGGTTGAATGGTGCTACATAGTCTTCATTGATGAGAGCAGATTCTACTTTCCTGCATGTAATTACCGTTTACTTTTGTGACGGAGGGAGCGACATCTTCAGGTGTATTTGCTTACGACATAAACATTCTGATGTGGGTTACCATAAATTACAACTTTCTTTGCCTTTTGGTGTTTGCGGGTGGAAAGTTGAACAGCGCTATGTACATCCAGAACCTTATCCAAGTTGTTTTGCTGTTATTTCTGTAACAATAAAGTGTTCCAGTAGGATAATGCCCGTGCTACTCAACTTGTTTTTGAAAATTTTCAACAACTTTCTTACCTGGCACGATCTCATACTTGTACCAAATTGAATAGGTATCGAACATGATAGAACGACACCTGACTCTTACAGATAGTCTATCTACAATTCATGCAGTATTGTATCAGCAGACGCAAGAGTCATGGAATAATGTGTCACAATATGAGATTCTTGATCTATATGCATGTGATAGTAAAGAGCTGTGTCAACGCTCATGGACATACAGTGTATTAACATGCAAACTGATTACTATTGATACACCACTTTATTTTGGAATCTGTATACGTATTGAATATATATATATATATATACTTTATTATAGGATATTACATTAGAATATGTATAAAATCGCTACATAAATGTACTCATGTTTCGATGCATATCATCGCATCTCATCAGGCGGTAGTAAATGAGGATTATTACAATTTTTAATATTTATTTACAAAATACCTCTTTACCCGCGAAAATAAGAAGAGCAAGCAAGAAAGAAAGACACAAGATATAGTCTCTTCTACAGAGAAAAGGAAGAAGAGAGAAAAAATAATAAAATATACAGAAAATATAGAAATGTAAAGTAGCTAGACATGTTATGTTGATAATCGGTTCAACCTATCAAAATGGTCTATGTTAAGTAAGATGTCATGAAACACGGATTTGAAATTACAACGGATATATATGCAATATTTGAAACAGAATTTTTGCTACAATGTTGACGACGAATGGCTGACACTTTCATTGAGGAAGCGACGTAATTTAACAAAAAATATTTTATAGTATGTAAATAATATGGCTCTTTAAGAAATAAAAGAAGGAAAAAACAATAAAAATATTTAACAAAATAACGAAAACAGAAAATTAAAACAAAACATTTAAATAAATGAAGTAAATAAAACTTTCAAGTATATATCTCATATAGAATAATAAAATATATAAATTATACTCAGTGAAATGCAACTGTTAACTAAAGGGTTTTATATGGGGTTTTAATATGAATTAAAACAAAACAATAGATAATGTTAAAACGCCATCCAAACGTATATACATCTAGATAAAATATTACCAGTAATGTTAGAAGAATAACGTACAAACTATAGTATATTGAAAAAATCTAACTTACTAAGAATAAGTTTTAAATGTTTACCACAAGGTTATTCAACATAAAAGAAGTGATTGCCAAATTTTAAAGTTTAGCAAGATTGTAGGCTCAAAGGTAAAATATGTTTAAAATTGACAGTTCGAATCTTTGATTTAATAAATCGTCCATATTTAAAAATCTGATTATCTGCATTTTCTCCTGTAAATTTGTCTGTAATCCAACTATATTACCATTACGTTTCAACTTGAGTAAATTGAAACACAAATTCAATGTGCTTCAATTGTATCTTCCGTCAATATATATATCTATATCTATATATATACATACTTTTTAAACTTGGTTTTTAGTAGATATCCGTATCTGAGTAGACGCCCCGTTTTTAATCATTGTTTATTACGCCTACCGGCCTACGCATTCGACAAAACTAAATAAAAATATTGCGCGAACCGGTAGGTGTAATATAAACACTGTTTAAAAACGGGACTTCTACTCAAATACGGTTATCCATTAAAAATAATGTTTGAAGTAATAAAATATGGGATTAAAGATAAATCCATTAATTCTTTAGAAATATATATATATATATATATATATATATATATATATATATATATATATTGTAGTTCAAAATGTTTAAAAGTTATCACATTCAAGCTTCTATTCTTAGTGTGCAAAAAGTCCAATCGTGAATAGATTATCCCACACTTTACTCTTTTGAATGATATATACTGAAAACTGCTCCCAAAGTCTACATTTTGTCGCCATGACAGCAAAAAGACGAATGGTTACTTGCAGTGCAATTTCCAGGGTCCTAAAATATAATTGTGAGGCAATAGGTTTGACATTCACTACAGCGTAAAATATCATTGCGCACTTGTTGTTACACACCATGTTAGGAAATAAATCTACCCATTTCCAACTCGGTAGGGAAAATCTTCAGAACCATCTAACGTTTTAGGGAGACATGTTTTCACTTGTCTTTCCTTGCTGATGAACACTGTTCACTTCTATGGGAGATAGGCACATAAAGAGTGAGGAGAGAGATGAGTGTCGTTTAATTGAAGCATTGGAGGAGCCGTGTGATTGTTACTAGTACTCATGAATAACATTTGTTCGTCCATGCAGATGATGATGGTCGCTCTTACACCGTGTCTACTTTTGGTATTGACAATGGTAATGATCGTCGTAAACGTCTATTTGGTCATGATGATGGTTCTCAAGGATTTTTCTTTTGAACGTTTGTAGCGGTGATGATGATAGCGGGGGACCCCAAAAGTGTAATACACTATTGCAGATAAAAATCTTTGAGGTGATATAATCAATCACTGAAACAACTACAAAGCTAATTATTTCTGTTTTCGAATTTTTAATGTCACGAAAGCATTCTTAACATTCTGAGTATCGTCCATAGATAGATAGATAGATAGATAGATAGATAGATAGATAGATAGATAAAGAGAAAGAGAGAAAGTGGGAGGGAGAAAATAACATTTTCTTAAATGTCTTACCACTACAAAATTTGTTGATGCTAGAAAAATGTTTTGGTGAAATTACTTTGGTCCTTATTTTTTTTATAGTATCTTTTATCTTTTGCTCATTGCGAGGCTAAATAAATTACAAATTCTTTCTTTTCTTTCAGTTGTTTCAACTGTAAGGTTACAAAGTTTATACGAATTCTTTCTTTCTCTTTATTTATTTTCATGTCCAGACTAAAAATGTTGAGAAAATAAAATGTCTATTTTAGCGCATGCGCCTAAAACATTTCTGTCCAATGAGACAGAGCCGAATTTTGAAATAGTCTGTATGACATCTCTTTTTATTGAAAATCTCAACAGAGGATCTGGATGCATTTTTAAGCTTGTTTCAATATTTTATCACTATTTTATCTGATGACTTTCGCCTCAGACTCGACAATTGACATCTTTCCTAACCGATTATTATACTGTTTTAAAAATCGGCTATATTTTTTCTTAATAACAATGATAATGTATTTTTTTATATTAATGAAGATAATGCAACCCTTTTCACGTAATGCCATTTTGCTTTGTTTGCAGATGTTTCCTTCCTAAGATCTTGTCTTTCTGTTTGCTTTCCACCGGGTCAAAACTAAAAATTATCTATTATCCAATTATTTTGGACATTTTATATCTGGTATATTTTTTGTTCTCAGTATTATGAACTGGTCACTTATTTCATTGGACTAATCTACTTTAATTTCTGAACTAAATCTAAATATCCATTTACAATAAATTGCTTGTAAAATCTGCCACTAACTTGTAAAATCTATGTCTGTATAAGCATGAACACATTAAAGAGCAACTTTAAAGAAAATGAAAATACCATTCGATGACTGTAGGTTCAAAATTTAGGCAACAGCCTTCTCTATATTTAACCAGAAGAAAAACGTTCAGCGACTTGAGATTTACTAATATTAGCTTTGTTCTACACAAGGCCAAATAGAAGTAAGGGATGATTTTGCGATAATTAAAATCTTTTAACTTATCAGTATAAAATAACAGATCAATCATCAGCTTTCTGAAACATTTTGCACGTCTGGATTTATTCGGTAATTGAGCCAATCTGGACTTTGAAGTGGTAAGGGGTGGTAGCTTTCAAATCGATTCCTTTTATACTCTCTTGGGATAAGTAACCAAAAAATCGTCTCAAACAACCTGGATGTTTCGTATCAGTGATAATTTTTGTGCAAGCCTCCCACATATCGTAGTCAAAAGGATCTTCAATGGACATAGCTGAGTAATTCTTAAAATCTTTATCGACATCTGCCGTCTTTTCAGAATTAAACAAATCATCAGGGTTAAAGTTAGGGTTATTTAAACTCAAGTCATACTTTTTATCTTTACTGAACTCAGAAGATAAAAAGTATGACCTGGGTTTTGATTTTCTTCTAGAAATAATCAGACATTAAAATACCTTTCTTATTTCTGCAAATCTTGGTCATAACCTTTCCTATTGTCTTTTGGGGTTTGATTTTCTTCCGTTGTAGAGGGTCCGAGTGCTAACACTGCAAATATTTTAGTGACATAACCATGTTTCATCAAGTGACAAATCATTCAAAAATAATTATAAAAAGATCGCTGAAAATACTAATGAAACAAACTTGGCAATGTCCACTGAATATTTTTTCTGGTCGGCATTCAAACGTTTTGGCATCCACATATGTGACAGTTCCTGCCTAACGAACTGGTCATTAATTACAGACCCAACGCATTCCCTGAATATATGTAGTGTCTAAACAATTCTTTTGACTGACTTTTGTCGATCGGTCGAAATTAAGTCATGAATATGATAAACAAATTCAGAATTTGACACCGTTGAAGGTGTCCGATCTCATGATGCACCGTCTCAAAATCTCCACAGTGAAAATCAGCACATCACTTCTTTTCAGTTGAACATGATGAGCACTTGTCAACTAATGTTTGCATCGCTCACTCATTGATTTCCTTTGAAGTTTTCTTCTACAAGAACAGAAATTTCATGACAGCCTGGGGTTCAACACTTAAAAATACTACTTATATCATTGACATGGTCCAGTCAATGATATTCAGCGATAAGCGCAAGGATCCCGCAAATTGACACTTGAAAGTTCTTTCGATTGACAAAATAATGAAATCTTGGAGTCGGATTGAGAACTTTTCAGCACCCCCTCCCATATCTTTAAATTAATATGTAATTATTTATAACATGAATTATGAAAAATATAGATATTTAATGGGTTTAGTTTGATACAAGATCGCGGAAATGAAGTACCAAATGGATATGCGAATATTTATAACCTTTGTATTAGAAAATATATAGATATTCACTGAATCGAGTCTGGCACAATTTTTGAACTACACAGACCATTCACAACACGTACCGCTTTCACCCGGAGCACCTCCATAGGTTTTGTCAATAATCTTTTTCGATTCGGTTGTTTTTTTCTATCTCGGGTTAGTTCTAGGCATGACGATAAACTACATCTGGCAGTAAGGCCTCTGACTGAGGGAACGTGGAACTACCTCTTAATTGCTATTGTTCCCAGATCCACCCTGACCTGGGGTGATAGCATCTTTTAGGGTCCAAGTTATGGGCAAATAGGGAACTCCTCTAAAAAACAAAACACTATGAAATTATAGAAATACATTTTTATAGTAAAATTACCAACAATATATATTAATAGTAAAATTATCAACAATACATTTTTAAAGAAAAATGACCAACAATACATTTTATTGCAAAATAACCAACAATACATTTTATCTATAGTTAAAGGCATACAATCGTGTTCAAAATATATTTAGTTGAAGCCATAAAATTTTGTTCAAAATATTCAGATTTCGGCATTAAATAACCCATAGAGGCTGATATGCCGCTAAACAAAATCAACAATCTATCCCAGGATAAAGGAATGCTGAATACAGAAGATGCCAAATTAGTTTTCAAATGTACGCTGGGAACATTTTCATAGAGCTAATAGTATCTTCTTTCCTAATTGAAAATCATGCAAAATAATATATCATAAACATTTCTGTGCTACTAAAGATGTTCATCAAGTTTTAAACTTATCTGTCACAGAATCATAGCAGTGAGGTAACGAGAAAGGATCAAACTTATAAGATTAACAGCCTGTTTAGTTTGCTAATCATACCTTTACGGTAGGTACATTTCTTTTAATGTATATATTTATAAGCTTGGTTTATCCCGACACAATGTCGCAACAGTTGGGTATCCAGCACGAACCGAAGTCCCTAACAAAGTTCATTGATGCTTCTTTGCCTTTAGTTTAAAAAACAGGTGTTCTTGTAAAATTGAGTTCGAGTTTCTACAATTTCTGATATTAGTTAACCACACTAAGAACTGAAACAGCTTCATAATTCTCTTAAACACTGATATCTTAAATTGTTTTTGATCTAGAAATTCCCGTAGTTATACATACATACAATACCCTATTCCATTGATAGTGAGAGTAGGTACTAATACGGATGCTATTTCCTAGCATACAAGATAGGTACAAAAAGCGTCTTACTCGTAATATTTATTAAGCTTAGGTTAGTTTTACATCTGTTCATAACAGTTGATGGCCTCACTGTAGACCATTTAGCTTCCTCCTAACAATGATAGGTTTGACACAAGGTCACAAATAATGTATAACTGCGCACGCTTATATTACCGTCGGTGCCACAAATTTTCCAGTTTCCTTGACACATTCACATTTGGGACGCCTCTGGTATCAATGCTTGAACTTGATCTTTCCTCTTTCAGTGCAATCAGGACGGATGATTAATTTTCGCTCTAAATTTCATGAAGGGGCCAAGCAACATGACTCACTACACTAGATAATCGTTTGCCAATCTGCTTGTTAACCATGGCTCTCTGACAAGCTCCTTTTTTACAAATTTGGATGAACTGCATGGTGAAGTAAATATTTGTTTTCTAGCCCAGTTAAATTGATTGATTGATTTTTTACGGTTTATCAACCTTTTGTAGGTTATTTAAATCCAGAATATATTTTTTTAGAGTGTAATAATTTTTTGAGATAATAATGATTTACTAATACAAATTTTACTAATTAACCCATAGCTGGGAGGTGGAGGTGGTATTTGCGCTTAAGTGAATATAACAAACCTGAATGGAATGATAACGTGGCACTCCGATTTCCAATTCCGAGCTGTTGCATCACTTGCATATCCAAGCTTACAACCCCTGGTATTTCCAAGCGGTTACCCATCTAAATACTGAGGAGACCAGTTAAAAGCCAAAATTTGGAATGGTGATTTACAAGGTTTACAGACCTTCCCCATTTGGAAGATTGATGCAACACAATATTTTTATCTCAGTTTCTCATTTGGTCCTGTGTCACACGAAGCTATTTTAATAATAAACAGTTTATTGTCACGCACCTAATGCTATATAAAGAGATTATACATCAGCCAAATATGCCGTAGTTCCAGTACAAAAAATAATATAATTAACCCTCAGCAGATGATAGCCTCCTAGGCTTTCCCAATTTCATTCGGATGCATAATAGAGAGAGAAATGAGGAGTTGAAATATGGTGACGATTTTTGACTGCTTTTTAAGGCAACAAAAAAAGACCCGGGAGCAAATGCATTCTAGTCTCATAACATATGCGTCCCATGGTCAAATCCATATCAGCACTTGATGGCGTATTCTTTGTCACGTAATTCCGTATGGGATCATGTTCTCTTTTGATCACGTCATGTTCCTGACTATAAGAAATTCCGTCTTTGATCATATCATTAATATTAGATTTCTGGTGCACAGATGTACAATTTCTTTTTTGTTTATTTTTAATTAAGCATATCCAATTCTATTAACGAAAGTCTCTTTGATATTAGCTATATACATAAAATCCGGCTTATAGGGTGATTTATCCTCAGATACATCCTTATTTTCGTAAAGAAAAGGCCCAGAAGAAGTAAGAATTGTCTACAAAAGCTGACGTGATCCAGGAGGCCGAGCATATATCTT